AGGGCGCGCTAGTATCATCAATCAATGACCACTGCCAAATCCGTGGGGTAAGTGATCATTGGCTCCGCGAATCATGTACCCTAGCAAACGTAATGAGCTAGAAATAACAGCATACTGCTTTTCTCCGGCAAAGATTTCGGCCTTTGGGTGGCAAGCCGGCATAATCTTGAGAGTAGAAAGGGCATCATTCCACCAAAGGCTCACCCGAATCTGAAAACTTCACCACGAATATCGTCTTGCTCTAATGGTCGAGGAAAACTACATCAGGCTCATCAGTTTATATCACCTTGAGGTGGAGAATGAGGAGTCCCAATAAATTTGGCACTTTTCAACCACCACAATGGATGTCTCACAGACCCTACGGTAGTAAAAAACACTCTAAGGGCTGCGTTATGTCGATGGATATAGACACCACTATGCAGGACATTTTAACAGCAAGTGCATTTGAGTCACAGGCGCCTCGCGGCAGACCCTGCATCTGATGTCAAGAACCTCTATACCCATTACATGACTGCGGTAGGCTAAAGTGTTGAAGACATCATCCTGGCTTGCTATGGCCTGGTCTCAGTTCCCGAGTTCAGCCCACTCGACCTGAGAAAAGCGAAGGTCAAGCTCCAATATTATGCTATATTGACATACTCTGGATTTGTAGAATAAAAACATAAACTTTTTATGGCAATGATTACATCTTTGAGCATTTTCCTGGAAAAAACGTTCTAATATTGCGAACAGCACGTCAATTTTCATTTCTGAAGTATGCGTTGTCAGCCTTCTTCGAAAACAATTGCGAGTTAGTCATATACCGAGTTATAGGTACAGTTAATTCAATAATTTGGATTTAATTACGTCCGAACCACGAAAAAATTAAGGTAGTTACACTCACTGCCATGCGCCTCCGGCATATTATTAAAATGAATTATTGCAATTTAACTATTTTACTCATTACTGCTAACTGATTCAGACCTCCCAATTCTTTCTTCGAATGAATGTGTTTCTTTCTTTTGAATATGATGTTAATTGAGTTTTGCCATCTGACAAGCTGTTTTTGTCTTCAAGACAAATCAGATTGAAATACATAACTCTTTTAAACTTTTAGGCAAATTTTCGATATATGGGTTACAATTATTGCAATTTCCGTTTAGATCATTTTTTTTTAATAAAATACAGCTCATATTTTAACTCTCTTCTGCTAGAAATCAATCCTTTCCAAGGGTTTCAGTGAGCTTGACTTTCACGTTAATCCTTTCACCATTTCAAACCATCACTATAGCATACAAATTTCACCTCAAAGTCGTACTTAGTTGAGTACATCATCAGCTATGGATTTGGGTATGCCTTTCAGCAGACTAATTTTCAGAATTTCAATATGTCGATAAAAATTGAATCCGTTTATCTCAGATGTTTAGAAAGACGTGTTATTTTTTCCATCCCGCAGGCGTGTTATTTGTAAGAATCAACAGAGAGCTCTGCAAGGAGGGATATATAACTCGCTCTGTGGCAATTTGACTCAGACTGATGATTGTTAAGTTTTTCGCCACTATATCAATGAGGTATAGGTAATCATATATCAAAGAAAATTATGATCACAATGGCTGGTCCGGGATTTTAGGAAATATTGTCCTGAATATTGTTTGTTCAGTTCGGTTTGAAGGCGGGAACGGATTTGATTTCTGAAATTTCAACGTTTTTTATAAAGATTCTAGAAAAGTATAATATCCTAAAATCAATCAAAAACAAATTCACTCAAAAAAAATCACTCTCTTAATTATAATTTTTCAAATATCCCATTTCAATGTTTAATATTCTGATGAATAAATTTCAGTTTTTTTCAGAAGCTAGTTACTTTTGTGACATTTTTTTAGTAATGTAATATTTCACGATGTCAAAATATAAGAAAGTCTTCACAATCGATACAAATGTGGATCTACTACTGATCCTACTCCGTATATAAAGTTCCCAGAGATGAGAATAATTGATTGTATCAATTATTATTTGATAATTAATTGATCTGTATTTACGTGTAAAGCTCACGAATCCAATCCCATATAAATGCCGAGAATATCACTCAAAATTAAATCATTTTTCGATCGAGACATCACTTCTTGCACTTTTACAGACACATGCATTAATGAGTCTCCTATAATGAACATTACAATTAATTCCAATGTCATCGCTGATATATCTCGAGTTGAATCGAAGGAACAAGAGCCATTTAAGTATTGACTTGATACTTCGGAAAACTAGTACTATTCGTTACTTCATCGCACATATTGGTTGGTCAATTCATTAGGATATTGACTGGAATGATCATTTTAATCATAAAGGTAGATTGAACCAGAGCAGTGGCCAGAATTTTTAATTTTCGCAAGGCAATTGATACAAGGCCTAATGGCCTTAGGAGGACTCGCTTCATCATAATAACAAGTCAAGGTAGGGTCTTAAAGGAGTGGGTTATCTTCAGAGCTCCACAGTGAGCTCTCGGTCACTTTTTTTATACCACTATTGTCATTTTCAGTTGCTCTCACATACATTTTATATAGATTTCCTGGAACTTTGCGTGTCAGGGGGAAATGATCTTTATCCAGTTATTATGGTTGGCACAAGAGTAACATCCATGATATTGGTATGAAATTTGAACTTTAAAAACGTTCAGCAGTTCAATTCAAAAAAGTGGGACATATATTGAACATCACATCAAATCACACACATCTGTGAAAAACCTTTTTTCGGCAAGTATCAGTACTGTTTTTTTATTATTATAATAAAATTTCTACAATGTTTCCGTTCTATTTTGATTCTGCATAATGAAATATGATTCTTTATCTGAATTGAATTCACTATTAATCAATGTGCAACTGGCTTACAAATGAATAGTGCCAAATTCCAATATTGAATGCGAAGCCTTTCCAATCTGGTATCCTACAAGCAGTGAAACCTATTGAAAAAGGCAGAAGGCAAAGTTGGACATTGTCACGGATTGCTGTATGATCTTCGTTTGTTCGTGACATTCGAGTTTTGTCGATCCCATAGATGGCATCTTCTTGATTGGACACAAAATTCACTTGAAAACTTTCTCTCGATATTCATTTTTTCTCACATCTAGGGATCAGGTATACCAGAGCATATTCTAAAATTGCTGGTGATCACGATATAAAATGGAGTAAAACAAACATTATCACTCAAGAAATTCATGAAAAAATTAGGGAACTCGAAGAATCCGCATATATTCTTCCAGCAGGTAACAAGTGTATTCCAAATGGATTTGCATCCACATGTGAAAATATTTCATTCTGTAGAAACTGTAAATTAAAATGAAGGAGAAACTTGCCTAGAGAATGTTTTTTTCTGTCAGATATATTTATAGAAATATACATTATGAGGTTTAAAACACATTGAACTGGTCATCGGTTAGTGCTGATAATTATTTTGATTATTAGTCCTGGAATAAACATAATAAACCGATTTTCATCGTTTGAATGAAATATGCATACTTGCACGAACTTGTAATAAATTCAAAATTGGGTTTCCAGTTTATTTGGCACAATTTTAACCACCTCATTAAAATATTAAACCGTGCTAAAAACCAGTAACAACTCTGTTGATGACATCTAATAGGATATTTATTTTCGTGTAGCCTAGTCAGAGGCACTTTTTTGAAGTGTTCTCCTTCAATTCGCTTCGCGTGATTTCAAGTTCCTCCCTAAATCCGATTACGTGATAAATGAATTTTCCAGAAACTTCCGCAACACACACCATGTTTTCAATTATTTTCAATTATGACTCATTATGAAAACGTCGAAATGAAGAAAATGACAAACCAACACCTGAGATTTGTGAGGTTAGTACAAATTCAACAGTAATAGTTGCTTTGACCCCGTTTAATACTTTACACGCCTAATTGTCACTAGAAGTTGGCTTGCATTTTCATACAACTGTTTCAGAGAAATCTTGATTTTGACAAGGAAAGTGAAAAAACGCAATGTCATATCTTCTTGTGAATAAATTATAATCAAAATGTTTATTTTGTGTTTATGGCTATAGTTCTCTTCATTTGAAATTCATTCAATTTTTGAATTGAATTTTGAACATAACATTATTCGCAGACGATAATTTGTCATTATATTCAATTGGACCCCATGTTCAAATTGAAAGATAAATATATTAAAATGAAATTCCTACACTGTGGTCTCTGGTAAATGCCTGCTGAAAAACAACTACTTTCTCACCTTATATCATGATGGACATTTAATTATATATGACAGATATTTATGCAAGTTAATTCACAAAGGAGGGTTTCGAAGAATGTCTTGTTATCGAAAGCTGGAATCAAATCGAGTAGATCAGCAACAGATTGATTTTGGATTATTATCTCTCGTCAGTGGAAGAAACATCCGACCCAAACAGCAGCGTGCCTGAGACTCGATTGACTTCAAACATGGCTCGTCTGAGAGAAATCAACGGGTGAAATATTCTTAAAAAATGATTTTATGTCTTCATCTTCAAAAGAAATTGCTACCTAAGAGCTAAAATTGAGCAAATTAAAAGATTTGTTCAATTGTTCAAAAAAGCCTTGTTTTTTGAAGAAGGTCATAATGTTTTTAATGTTTTATACTTGTAGCAAGTTTGAGCAACTTGTAATCATTTGTTACCAGTAGTAGAATGTAAGTAAACAAACAAACCCGTATACCGGGTGTGCATATGTTGTTACTTATTCCTTTCGCATTTTCCGTGTGAAAATTCGACAAAGAAATTGAAAAAGTATGATGGACCAATCAAAATGTTAATATTCTATAATGATCATGAACCAGTTTAAATCAATTCTAATATGAGTATATCATCCAAATTATTTTTTTTATATATTACAAATTACAATTAATGTGTTTTTTCGAACCACTCTGTTTGATTATTATTGATAGTGTTACACCTCCATCATAACTATTGAACCTTTTTGTAACTGTCACTTCTTAATTGTTATTCGTAATATTTATTTTTGTTCGCAGATTAATATCAGTCTGGATGAATATACAACAATGATGAATACGTATCTTCACATACGGCAGAAATCTGGTGATGATGCCACCACTATTCCAAAACTACTAACATTCGATGTAGGTGAGTAATCACTTTTTTTAAACAGTATTGAACCTAATAGAAAAAAACAATATAGGGAGAAACATTGTATTATTTTCCGTAAGTGGATGCGTTTCTGAAGATAGAAAATACAAAATAAACCTGAAGATATCATAGAGGAATGTGGGCCCCAATCTCGTTTCGCCCTTTTGACTACTGCTGAGCCATCTCGTGTCTAACACAAATAATTGTATATATTGAACCGCGGTATATTTCGAAGAAATCGTTATACATGCACATAATTTGAACAGTGGGTTACTTTGCAAAACGGAATAGCAAATTTGAGATCTTCCTTCTCCAAAATTCGACGACACCTTTAGTGTTCAGTTGGCATGGGATATATACCAAATTTTATGTAAGAATTTGGTTTGGTTTGCAATTTAATACAACCGTCTGGGTCGTAAACTGTATTTCAATATGTCGGCACTCTCATGTCTCAAACAATACTTGCAGAGACCAGTTATTATACTGAGCACCGTAAAGTAAAAAGTGCAACACCGCGGTGTATTAAAAATGTTTTTCGTAAGTTATTGCATTCCGTTCCATTGAAAAAATCACTAACAGATGCCAGTGCGTGGACGTTGGAATTCCCATAAAGTATTCTCATTTGTATTGAGATTAGAAAACAATGTTTTCCTTTCGATTCAACCATTAGATCTTCGCATGATCTTCGGTATGATAAATCGAACTGATAGCACCTGTAGCGAATGCTGCCCACAAGATACATTCGTCTTCTGCATTATCAAAAAAGAGAAAAAATCTGATTATGTGTTATTTCAGGTAGTCTCCAGATGAAATTTTCATTTTAGTTTTTTATTCAGAACGTCTTCATCCACTCGTTTTCCTATAACGAGTATATTCCTATGTATCTTCGATGAAAAATACTGAATCATCGTTATCAGTGATCTAATTCGCACAGTCGGGGGTTGCCCAAGGATCTAATTTGGGACCGTTGTTATTTTTACTTTTTATAGATGACATATGCGCAACATACAATCAACAATGCTGATCTTTGCTGATTGTATGTTGTTTCAGAGGGATTTGAATTCACTCCAAAAGTAGTGTTGTGAGAATAAATTCTTTCTAAATGTTGGAAAGTGTAAAATTATGACTTATAATCGTATATTAAATCCGTACCAGTTCAATTATACAATTGATAATATCAACTTACCAAGAGTTAATGATACTCTCGACTTAGGAATCTTATTAAACAGTAAACTTACATTTAATGCGCACATTGAAAATATTGCTCAGAGAGCTTCAAAGTCGCTGGGATTTGTTATAAGAAACTGCAAAGAGTTTAGATCATTTGAATGTATTCGTTGAGTTCACTTTAGTTTGGTACGTAGTAAACTAGAGTATTGTAGTTATGTCTGGAATCTTAATCAAACAAAATACAGTGATGCTTTGGAAGGTGTTCAGAAGAAATTCCTCAAGTTCGAAAGAAACGTGGAAACTATCTGGTTAGAAATTATGAATACACTTGCCTTCTGACTGAATTTAATTTTGTACCATTGAGAAAAATATGAGAAATTACAGATCTCGTTTTCATCTATATACTGGTCAATGATCACATTGACTCACCATTTCTACTGTCAAAAATTAATTTTTATGTACCTCGATATACGTCCAGATCAAATATCACATTCCGCATTAATGTACCCAATTATCAGCACCAGCCCGTTAACCTCTATGTGCCGAACTGTCAATAAATACTCTATAGATTTATTTTTTTCCACCCTGAATCGATTTAGAAATAGTTTGTATAGATTAGTTCCTAGCTGAATATCAAAATGTTCAAAATTTATCTACAAATAGTTACCTGATATAATTTCTCCCCTTTTATTGGGCATTGGCTTGTTGGATTGAATGATAAATAAATAAATAAATAACACATCTATATCCAAATTTGATCATTGATATTATACCATACACTACATTACTTCATTTTCCAGTAATTTGTAATAACAATAACTGATTTATTACTGATTTGAAAGCTCCTATCCATCATGAAAGTGGTCTAATCATCTCTCATTATCGATCTTTTCACGAACTACTCCATTGACTCTCGATTGTTTTTCCAATGGACAATATTTCTTCGCAATACATCACCTGCTTCGCGGTTCCAACCTAAACATCACCCTTTCTTTAACCGCATGAGGAACATGATTCGAAATGAAAATCAATGTATGTTTTTGTTCTTCAACAAACCCCCAACTGCCTCTTACAAGCAATTTTCTTCTGTTGTTTCATTCATAAATGCATATCCTTCGCCAACATTTTTCTTTTCCTTACCCCCATATGTTTCACTTCGGCATTCAAAATTTGAAGTACTTTGTCGAATATGATGGCGATGTTATCAGGAAATTGTCGACGAAAAACAACACAGAGATGGTTTTTCCATTTTCCATCCAGCAGATCCTTTGCCAATCTTAGCTACTAACTTTTTAGTAATTTCAGGATATATCTGTCTTTCGACATCTTACTACTGAGATCAATATGGTGTGGTGTGTCAAAGTAGTCAAATCATTGAAAATGTTGTCTTCTCTTCGTAAATCACCCCTGTTATCAGTTGTTACGTTATTCTCAGATACCACCGAAAATTCTCGCCTACATGATAATAATGACAATAATAATAACGTTCTTTGCCCAACAGTTACCCATTTATCGAGCAAGTAACAATCCAGTTATACAAAGGATAACACTATTTCTACAAAAAAAGAATCATACATGATACAAACAAAACTGATTCATGAATCAATAATTATTTTCAATAACTCATGAGTATGCAGTTCACATCAACTACAGTAAAATATACCACATGTGGTAGAGAGTTGGTTTGTTGTACTGCACATCAAACTCACTGGCGATTGCAACACTAAATCGGTTTGAGATTTTTAATTTTGGAGCAAGGTTATCTATTGCAGAAATTTTCAAGCAATAATCAAAGCAGAAAAATCATGAAATACAAATCAATTAACAGAATTTAGATTATAAAAATAAAGAAAAAAAATACCTCAAAGATACTGCTCCGTTCCCTCCTGTTCATAAAAGGGAGCATATGCCTCCTCACTCACAAGCGATTGAGGTGAAATTGTGGACACGTATGAATCGTTATATTCATGCCACCTGCCACTATATGGGTGTCTGCAATATGTTGTGTAATGCTCGTTGTGAATCCCACTGTGATTCGAAGGTGCATATAGATTATAACGACAAGTAGCCACACTGCATAATTGCTCATATCTAATCCTTCTAAAGAAAGGTTGTATCATTCACTAACTTATGTAAAACAGAACAGATGCTTGTTTTCTTCTTTTTTCTAGAGACACAAACTCAATTATTCGCAATACATCGATATAAATGCCATTTTTTTGAGAATACACACCAATGGTTTTGAACTCAAAAATTTCAAAAATTAGTTAGAGACACGCTCTAAGGGTTTTGCGATCTTCACACCGGAGTATTATTCTGCCTACTCCCAAGCATCGACTGTGGGTCCACATGATCTCATCTGGTGTTTATGTCCTTGGACGAGTGGAGAGGGGACCGGTAGTGAAAACAAAAGTGGAGTTGGTAGTGACAACACTAGCAAACAATTCTTCATTTTGCATCAAGAAATTCTTTGATACCATAAGAACATTCATCTTGCAAATATTCTGTCAATTTGGGTTTTTATTCAGTTCTCTCATATTTGGAGATGATTGAGAAACTTTATACCTTCATACGAGGGTCTTTATTCATAAAATGATGAGTTTTGTGCAGGAATTCTGATGAGGTCTCCATTTCTAGTGGGGTAATCATGACACTGAGAAAATATTGGATACATGTCGATGTGTTGCATAAATAACATTATACATTTAAAAATATAAATACATGAAATTATTAAAATTTTATATTTTTGAAAATACGTTCGACACGATTCATCTGGTTTTAGGCTGGAAATGAGTCGAATAATTCTTTTTTGGAAAACAAATATTCTGCTTGAGCATCCCCATGTGCTGATGCTATTATTATTCAGTTTTTTTTGTAAGTCTTGTAAGTGGACGATCTGTATCAGTTGCCAAAGTAGTATCATTTGCATAGAGAACTACAGGATATGAACTAATATTATCAGGTAGATCGTTTATAAATGGCAAAAAAATAAGCGGACCCACAATAGATCCCTGAGGAACTTCCAGGTCCATCTCATGATATTCAGATGTATGCTCTCTGATTTCAACTCGATATTTTTCTGAAGTACATGTATGACATCATCCATGAGAAGAAATTTCCAAGAAGAACCAAGATAATACAATTTACTTTCGATTATTTTCAGGTCAATAGTATAATGCTTTCAATAAGTAGAAGAATAGTGTTCCCACATATTTCTCTTTATCTAGCGAGTCGTAGATATATTCGAAAAAGTTGTATGAAGCACTTACTTTCGGTCGACGTACTTTGACAGAAACCATGCTGATATTTTGACAGTATTTGAAGTTTGGATAAAAATGAGTACATTTTATTTTAGAAATACCTTTTAAATTCCTTGCCGATAATGGTGAAAACTGTTATGAGTCGAAAATTACATATACTAGGAGGGTCGCCTTTCTTGAAAATGGGGCTTACTAATCTAATTTTTTGAAAACATCGGAAAAACCCCCCATTGAATGAAATCATTTATAATGTTCACTAATGGTTTGGCAATATATTGAGCAATTTTCCTGCGTCGGGATGCAGTTATTCCGATAGAATTGGTGGGTTTCCAATGAGCTAATTGCATCCATGACGTCACAATATAATATAGGGAAGAAATAACATGTTCACTTTGTATATTGTGGTATGTTTGTTTTATTATTTTTTAACTAAAGTGGTTGTCGATAACTATTTTTGCATTGTTTGCATAAAAATTGCCAAAAGCATTTGCAACGATTATTTCATTTTCAATAATGTCATCATTTATATTCATTTTATACCTCAATGTATTTTTTGTTCTTCCTATT